AAGAGTATGCAATATTTTCATAAGAAAAATTCAATATTAAATTACCGTTTATTAAAGAGGAAGTAATGTTGGGATATACCAATGTTGTGTTTTAAAACTAAATAAATTTTGCCAAAAAATAGCCACTTTTTGAAAGTTGCAGTCCTTTAGGGTATATTTGATGATATGAACAATGAAAGTTTATTAATGCCTATAGAATCTTCATACATTCATACACACACACATTAAAATGTATGTGAAATTGAATAAACCGATTCATATGTCTATAATAAATGCATGTGTGGATGCTTTTGTGAACAAGTACAACAATGACAAATAATATGAGAAAATTCCTACCGCAATCCCTACTTATACATATATTTATTGTTGTTCAATAGTAAAAATTGTTCAACTGAGCTACAACAAACAAAAAGCAAAGCCAAAGTCACGCTAACCACGTTCCAAAGAACGTTTTGTCAACCAATGTGCGAGTATGTTTCAAATGAACAGTCCCGTCTAACTGCCCTCCTCGCTGTAGAGGTGTCTTTTAACGGGGCGGGAAACTGTAAACAAACAATGCGTTGACCCAGCACGATTCCATATTCGGCAACATAGAGAATATCTCAATTTCGTTATCGAACCCTGCAATGTGAATTTTACAATTGATTGCAACTCACTGGTATCCATCCGAATGCAACTGGGTCCACCACGCCAACACGCAAAGGAAGCAAGCATCGAGAGACAAAGCAGTAAGCCACAAAAAATCTTTCGAACACTGCTTCCTTCTGAGTTGCTCCCGTGGGAGTCTTCGAAAATCGTCTGCGTAAGCCCCGCTTGCTTCGTCTTTTCGGTTCGGTTCTAGCGGCAATCACGAATTTATTATATTGTAATGCTGTGACAAGTGGCGCTCCAGCCTCATTGCTTGTCAAATTCGTGCCCACGTAATAACTCTTTGCTTTTCTTTTCGCATATCTGCATGTATGTACATACATTACATGTGTTCATATATTGTATGTACAAGCACAAGGGTAAGCCATACTTCGTTGATAACAATACCGGCTGCCATAAATAATGATTTTTTACAAAATCGATTCGATGTGCGCATTTATACATATATATTATATATGTACAAGGACTAGTTGAGACATATGATTTTCTGTTGTTAATTTATAAAATCTTATCTTAATATAAATAGTTTCGAGAGGCTCAGGGATTTAACTGTTAGAATAAGTCAAATTCTGTTATTATATTCGTAGTTAGAATGAACACAATAAATGTCAAATCATTAGTCTAGCGCAAATGTGAAAATGGCAAAAGAGGTAACCTTATAAGATCAGTTATTTTCCTTACGAAAAATCCTCTTCGATATTAACAAGAATCAAAGATAATCTTAGCGATATTAATGGAAAAGAATTTAAAATTCGGTCCATTAAAAAAACTCATAAGCTCATAGAAGTATCTCACACATTAGATTAAACCGACTCTGAACTATATATGTATATATATATAAATATATATGTGCATATGTGTGATATACTTCTATGAGCTTATAATTTTTTTAAATGGACCGATATGTATTTATCAGGATGACGAGAGGAGTTTAAACCCGAATAAATGTCTATCTGTCCGTCTTTGCAAGCTGTAACTTAGGTAAAAAGAAGAAAAAACGTTAACTAAGCTAGAATACCCTTCACAGATAAGAAAAGCACTATTCCCATACAAGCACTTGATTTTGATCGTTCAGATGATATGGCAGCTATGTAGGTATATGCTATAGTAGTCCGATAACGGTGGTTTCGACAAATAAGCAGCTTCTTGGGGGAAAAGGTCGTGTGCAAAATTTCAGATCGATATCTCAAAACCTGAGGGATTAGTTCACGTATATACAAACAGGCGAACATGGCTAAATCGACTCAGCTCGTCACGCTGATTATATTTTGTCAGAAGCACCTTACCCTACGGCTGTTGCGGAAAGGCTTTATAGGAGCCGGAGTCCATATTAGACAATATTTGTGGCCTTACCCACCTTTAAATGAAACTACTTATCTCAAGAACGGCTTGACCGATTTCAGCCAAATTATGTGTATAACATTATCCTGACATTCCCATATTACAGTATGAAAATTCATGAATAAATTGGGTCAATACAATTTCTAGACCCATATACCCAATATAAGAATTTCAAACTTCCGGTAAGCTTTATACCGTATATATCAGATAATATGTAAGATATCTTAGGAGTATTAAGTGAACGTATAACCCTGTATATACGATAGTTTATTGCCGAAAATGTGTATAATCGCCCCAACTTCCATATTTTATGTACATATTATAATGATTCTCGCTATTCCAGCAGACTTTATGCCGGTGAGTTATCGAGCCTACTTGAGTAATGCCAAACATTAATACAATTAGTCCTAGCTATAAAGACACCAAATTTTCTTCAAGCTTTTCTTGAGCAATTGACAATTTTGTAGTCATTCTGTATAACCTCCCTTACTCTTCTGAGGGATGAACTTAACTGCACATATAGTCATATATTGGGCAGATTTCATAAGTTGACCGAATACGGCTTGAGTAACATGGAGATAAAAGAAGCTAAGATAAACGTCAGACCATTTCCCATTGCCAGGCGTCAGGTGCGCACCTGAGCCCATGAAGAGCTGCTCTTAAAGGTGTTGTTGGTGGCGCAGTTATTGGCACATCACTGCTTTGTAGCTGGCCTTGCCGTTAGCAGTTACTTCTTCGTTGTTGCAGCGAATTCAGAGTCGCGATTGTTACAGAAGTCTACGGTCGTTTTGTCTCCTATGTTAAGCTTTTTTATTCTCGCTTTAGCTGTACCTTGCTGCTTGGTTGGCCGCAATCGGGCTCTGGCGTGAGATGCTGTATTACTCCCGTCTAGTCAGCATCGTTGTTATTGCTGTCTTTGCAATCTCGAACTGGTCTTTTCGTTTCGTTGGGGCAGGTTTATGTCCCTCCAATAACAACAGTAACACTAACACCATCAATGGGCCACCTCACAATCGTCGTTGTTGTTGGCCCGATTACTGAGCCGGCCGAAGCGACGACTAGTATATGCACATCGCCACCGATGTTGAAGACGATGACGACGATGATGCTGGCATTATTGGTAACACCAACAACAACGAACGTTTGGCAATAACGACGATGTTGCAGCTGAAACATGAATGCAGTGAGGCAACTCTGGCTGCCACACGGTACCTCAGACATCACTGCGCTGTGTTGGATGCTTCGCTTGATGAGATGAGTGGCGACCATGTTTCCTGATGCGAGGCGGATAGTTTATCGCCAATTTTCATGCCGTGCAGAGGTGAACGCGGAAAAAGGCGTTCAAATTAAAACGCACTGCACAGTGTAGGGAAACCTCTAATTGTGAGAACGGCTGCCCGCCAGTATATTAGTAGCAATGGGTATTCCGTCGGCAACTGGATTCGTTAAATCGTTTCATTCGCTGATTGTGTGCCTCTGGCAAATCGGCGGTCTATGACGCTCTCGCACGCATGATTATTAATGCCGGAGGTAACATATGTGTACATATGTCATACTACATGCTAACATATGCACGTATACATAAGTGAAACAATACGGTTCGGCCATTCGCATTTTTTGAGTGCAAATATTCCAAAACACATCTGGGCGCACAACAGTTGTCATAATAGTGCTGTCTTTAAAGTGCTAATTTATATTTGCCACACAAGTGAAAGTGAAAATCCTAAGTAAATATATGTTATATAACTATTAAAGTTGGTGTAGCGAATGTAAGAATTTTGAAAAACGAGCAGTGCAATGAATTAAGCTATACACATTCATCCATAGTTTACAATTAAATTCAAAATATAAGTAATTGACCACGATCTCTCGAGCAATGGATCATCCAAGTAGCGGTTTTGTGGCATCGCCATGGGCCGCAGTTTTGGGCCATCACGCTATGGCAGCAACGGCTGCCAGTGCTGATGCGGGATTCGCGGCAGCAGCAGCGGCACATGTCCAGAATGTAGCGGCAGTGGCTCAACATCACCATCACCACCCACACCATCATCAGATCGCTGCTGCTGCTCACCACCACTCGCACCACCACCCACACCATCATGGCCACTCACACCACTCTCACCACACACATCACTCTCATCACCTTAATCCGACGGCCATGCCCATGGACTTACATGTACCACAAGGATTTCCATATTACAGGTAATCTTATTAAACAAAATACAAAATTTGGTTACCGTTTTCGAAGCATCCAATGCTCCATATAGAAATGTCTGAATTGAAACTGTTCTTACTTTAATGGTACACACCGCTATTCTTGGCTATTTCTGTTTTTAGGGTATTTTTCATAGGGATTGAGCGAACAAACTTTCATTAAAGTGACAGAATATTGTTCAATTGTAACCGAGCTCTCAACTCACAAAAATAAACTAAACAAGACACAAGATCTGAGAAGAGAAATTGACAGTTATTGTTTCTAAAAATGGTGGGACAATCGACAGCACTATTTACAAGGGTAAAAGCAAAGGAGGAAGCAAAAACGACACATTTTTGGTACAAAATTATGAAGCCAGAAGTTGATAAAAGATTCGTAGGACGTTCTTTAATGACGTTTAGTGGGTTTAACAAAAACTTGCTCACGAAATGAAACAAGAATAAAGTTCAGATCGGACGCTAAAAGCGTAGCATTCGCAATTGACAACAAAAGTGTGTACGCTCAACAGTTACGACACATAGAAGTCAGCTTGACGGATACGGTCGTTTCTAGAAAAGGAATAGTGATAAAAATTAAGATGATTTCAAACACGCTATAGAACAAGCTCATTAAGCTCCATTCGCAATAAATAATATTGTACATATATATCCATTAAAATCATTCTCAACTCAGGTCTGCATAAACTCAAATAAGTTTAAAATATTAACAAGTATGTTAATATAATGAATGAGAATCTAAGAGATTTGGTTTTACGTTAGTTTAAATACAATATCAAAATTAGCCAACACAGGAAATATTCCATCAAATTTTTTATATATAATTAATTTAAAATGAGTTGACACAATCTTGCGATGATTTGATTCAGTAGAACAATCACTAAGGCAACCGAAATACATTTTTTTGTTTCCAGTTTATATAGAAAATACTTTTAGTCATTTGTTAAATATTCCAATCTCACATTATACACTATCGCAATTTATAATTTAGATTTAACATACAACGTATCTGGTACAAATTCTTTCCGAGAATCATATTATGCTAAGTACAACATTCTTGTTTAATGATATTGAAATTCATATATACTAGAAAAATGGCGGCCGGCAGAAGTTGGGGACTGATTTCACACATTCTTCGCTTCAAATCAAGTAGTCAGAACAATTGTTCATTTAATTATATTAATATTCTTATTGATATACTGGAGTGTAAAGAGGAATTTTTGGGGCGATATTATTCCATTTTGTTACATAGTTTCATGAATATTCTTTCTTCATGTATTAAGTGATTTACTATATGACATTGACATAAAGTCAACGGGAAGTGCAGATATCTTCATTTCTGTGCTTGGGGACTTGGTGGGCATATATATGTAGACTCTTTTTGAAGCATAGTTGTGTGTAGAGCAAAGTTTGCCATTTACTAAGTATTGTTTGTATATACACATATATTTATATAGTATATTTGAAAAAAAAACCTATTTGGGAAGTGGGCTAAATTATTATACCATTTCCGCTACTGTGCTAAATGAAATAGTCATGGGATTATTTCGGTTAAAACCAGTAAAGTATTAAAATTAGTAAAGTGTGTTTGATATAAAGTCAGCTATACCAATTGTATACAATTATATCCATCATAAAAAAATTAACGAGTCTGGCTCTTCCGGTAGGAGGTTTGTCGAATTTTAAGCAGTTTTCAAGAAAGCCATCAAATGGAAGATGTGCACGATTATTACCGTAATTAGGCTATTTTACGCCCTCATTCAAAGACCCAACTAACAAAATGTATCGCAAGTTTTATCAAGATATCTATATGTTTAGTCAAGCTGGCGTTAACGCTCATACATGTCTGTTTGACGTTGCAATGTGTGAAAAAATGTAACAATTTGACTATATATGTCACAATATTAGTATTCATATTAACTATAATAAATCTATCGAGACATATATTTAAGTCAACACTAATGAATAATTAAACAAATAATAAATACAAAATACAGTAATTCGGGATTTAAATGTTCGGAAAAATTCATAACATCTCTTTATATGGTGGTACACGAGGAAAGTCCTAGTATGAATTCGAATACGGTAATAGGTTAGATCTAGCTTGAGAATTAACCGAACGAGGACAGGCAAACGAATCAGCTGTTGATTGGATCGTTGTTGTAAATCTATCTCAGTGAGCACTTTATCGTTATTACTTCAACAATTTATTATATTTTAACATGGTCAGCAGCTAGACCGCGCACACAAAGCTTTAACTCATCGGTGCAATTGAAAGAGAATCCAACGATCAGCACTTGCACCAAACATCAAACACCAAACACATCCCCAACATCCATCCATCCGTCGATTCATACTCGGCGGTACATAATAAAAGTCTATCAGGATTTTTCAATTATATCGAAATAGCGTTATCCGTACTTGCATCGCGTCAGAACGCATAATTACTATAATCACCTGAGTTATTACCTCGACGAATGTTGCTGCAAATCGAATTTACTATCGCCCTCTGACCACCGCCGTCCGCCGTCCATTGCCAACCATTCACTACATCGTGGCTTTACATTTGAAAAGGAAGAATACGAGTGCTCACTTCAAAGCGAAAAGTGTAAAAGGCAAAAAACAAATATAGAGGCATTATATGTTAAAAAAATATATGTGTATGCTGCCAATGTCTTATGGTTCATATTCGGCGGAAATTCGCGACTTCAAGTTGTATATCGTCTCCCCTTCACGCTTTATCCTTCATCGTCGATTATAGCCACTTGGTGAGTGTTTCACTTACGGCACACTGATAGGACTTCACAATCGGTTAAACTCAGAAATCGAATAACAGTAAAAATGTATTTTAAGTTTTTATTTCGATATGCCTCATTTAGGTGTTCTTTCGAATACCTCTATTTTATTATAGTGTAATATTTGTCATTATTTGTTGTTGTTATTATCACTTTTTAAAATCCGAAAAGAAACAAACACCTGTATGTATAGATGTGATGTGCAATTGCAATGCAACTCCACCGATTTTCCAACATAGCCCAAGCAGACGCCTTGGTCATCTCGCCAACTGGCGACGATTCCATCTTCGGCACTTTGATGAAAAGACTAATTTGAGTAGTTGTACACACCCACACAAACAAGTATTACAACGTCAAAAGTGTGTATGGACAGTTGTATGTGCAAGCAAACTATATTAAGAACGATTGTGAAATTATAAACCTAATGGGAGGATCTCCGTACTGCGTTGTGAGACGCAAACTACTTACTACACCATTCCATATAAAATGCGAATCACAATTTCCACAATTTATTTTCGAACGTGATTGGTGAGTGACCGAGTACTAATAAAACGCCAACAACAAAGGCAGCAAAACGATGTTCTCGGCTATGCAAACGAAAGAAATAAATGCGGCGAAATTGCAGATCGCATAAGCAGAAAGCAAAAGACAGAAAAGCAAAATTAAAAAATAAAATAAAATAAAACTCATCCAAAAGTGATATAAAATGCAAGAAATTATGATGAAGATGCTCGCAATAATGATGATGATAGCGGCATGCTGAGGCAATTGCTTTGAGTTGGAAGTGATGAGAATTGCGGCGCTCGAAAACAAAGCGAAGCAGCTTGGCAGAAACTGCAGAGCAGGCGCTGCAAATCGGGCGAAAGGCAAAAGTCAACGCTGGCTTTGAAGTGCTGAGTGCACACCCCTTGAATGCGATTCACTTCACACAATCAGCCATCTACATTCACTGTCGATTTGACCAGTTATGTGAGTAGCAAATGGGTTGCGAACTTCTTAGCTGATTCTTCTTTCTTATTGGTTTTTTTAGCAGTTGTTGCTGTTGCCGTTGCCGTTGCCGCTGCTAGTGTTATCGCAGTTGAGTAAGTGCAGCGGTTCAGTAAAATAGCTCCTAATTCGTTCCACGGCTGCATTGTGCGCTTTACCTCCTATAACCGACATATTACTTGAACAATAAAATGGATAAAATTCACCGCCATTGGCTTGGTTATTCGTGCGCGTATATGCACATTGGTATGTTATGGCATAAATTGAGTGCACCAGCTTGACCAGCAGCCTTACTTGGATGCGCGTAAAAAGGGTGGCTGCAGTACACGCCGCCATTAATTTCTACAAATATATTAACAGGTTTGCATTATTGCAACACCATCGCTGTGATACTTTTATCAGGCAAACTCATTGAATTCAAATGCATTTAAATCACCCAAATCTCTGCCCAGAGCACATCGCACCTGCAGACGCAGTTACGCCATTTTATAAAGTTCGAGTGTCTGCGTAGGGAGGACTCGTCAACTGGCGTTGCCGCAGATTCAATTAAGTTATGCAAATTGGAAGATTCTGCCACTGCACAGCGACCATGCATCCAATCAAATTCAAAACATTGCACCCTCACTCCAATGCCTTGCCGCCAGCCGCGATGGAACGCTGATGAAGTTCTCGTTACGTTGTTATTATTGTTATTGTTGCAATTGTTGCTCTTTTCAATGTTTTGGTTATTCTTCTATATAATTTTGATGATTATTTGATGATGTCGAAGATGTTCACACAGCCTGCAGTCGAAAACTCATTACAAGGCGCTGCGTCAAACCCAGATGGACACATCCTCATGGTCGGCGAAGTCAAAGAGAAATAACATCGTAACATAGTTTGTGTCGACAAGTCAAACTCTAAAATTTACACAATCTTGATTAAGTTTAAGCGGCAACGGGTCTAACAACCACATCAAGCCATCAGTAGTAACTTCACTCCGTTTCATTTCTCACCGCCACAATCACTGACGGATTACACCGCGTTTGCAGTGCTACCGTCCGGCTGTAGGCTAATTTCTGCGGCAGCTCATAGAAGCGAATCCATTGCAGCAAGGGCCGCACAAAATTGCAAACACACACTTACAGTAAGCAGCCCCTTTGACACACTATTATATGTTGTGAATTTGTCAGAATGTGTGCGTTTGTGTTGCAGTACGCATGCGCAGGCTCACTTGCACAGCCATACGTTAAGTGCAAAAGTACAAATACCTGCTTGGAATATGTAATTCAGCGCAAATCATAAAGCGCATTTACAAGTGCTTATAATGCATATCTACGGACTCAGTAATACTTATATACATACATATGTACGAAGGCAATGTGTAGAGAGTGGTAATACACCATCTGGACAACGACGCGATTATAAGAATACAAATGCTTTATTAAGTTTGTATGCATGTGAATTCTACAAAGTACATAGGCTACCTGCTAACTACAAATGAATATGATACATAAGTGAAGACTTAAGCCATCACTCTGGTTGAAAAAATGGAGACGAATACATAAATACACCCACAACTTGTTTTGAACTGCGACTCAAGTACCCGTCTTAGTCCTAATACATATGATTTGTTTTCATTCCCTTTCTCCCAATCAATGCACCAAAAGACTTTTTTCATATAATATTTACCGTTATCAAGGCGAAAGCTCTATGAGTCTTCCTCAGAAAAAATATACATCAATTTTAGTTCCTCGAGAGAGAACCTTATTTCCAATATCACCATTAATATAATTTTTAAAACAAAAATACTTTGGCTTTCTCTATTGTAAATGTTGACTGTACTTTACCGCACGGCACTGTACTCACAAAAGCAGTATCCTAAATATGTATGAGTGGTGAAATTTTGGGTTTCTTTGTCGGTTGTTTCGGTAGACCTCGACACAATGGATACCTACAACAAGTAGAAGTCAATGCCGGCAAACAAGGTCGCAAACCTCAAAGGGTAAATGTGCATCGGTGGCAATAAAACTCAATTCGAAACAAATCGATCCAAACTCACTATCATCAGACAATATTAACAATTTTCATCGAACTTCAGACTGGCATAGCAATCACCAACTAACGGCTGCACCAACAGCACTACCAACAACACAGCCTGCAGTAGATCAATCAGTGGACAGCGGAATTCAACTTAAATCAAAACAAAAAAAACATTCGTTCAACGTACTGGTACAACAGCTGAGTCCAAGGAACGGAGCAGCGCGTAAAAAGCATGATATAATAATATTGGCGGACAATATAAACGCCCCAATAATCTCCACTCAAAATTAAAGAGATTTTTAGTATACTCGCACAGATGGAACAACAGCGTCGTTGGCAACATACTATGCGTTTAAGTAACTACATACATACATACATACGAGTAGTATGGACCGCTACCGTAGATATGTACACACTGCATACGTGTATGTATATATCGTCTCATTGGACAGTAAACGCGGTTGTGCTTGTCAATTTGATCGATTTTCTAGAACGAACTCCATATTAATTTGTACCTGTAGCACTCACGTCATACCCCACGAAACGGGCAGCGATCACAAGCGGAGATAGAGAGTAGAAATACAATATGCCGCAACTTCATTAAAACCACCACAAATGAGAGCGTCACCTAATAAAAAATAACTACAACAAAAAATTGTTGGACACCTTCTTAATGAGCAAATTCACACTTTCAGGTGGAATATGAACATCGATAATACGCCTATATATGTATTTGTGTTTTCATTATCTGTATACATGCAGCATGCTTCTTTAATAAATAGTGCTACCGCGATGGCAAATAATGCAGATTCAATAATTGTATTAGGTGATTTCAATTTACCGTGTGCTTCGTGGAAACCTTTCGATGACTATATCGTGCCGATTTGCAATCGGTCATGTTTAATGAGTTTTCGAAAAATGTCGAGTTGAACTGACAATTAATTTGATTCCGAATAAATTTGGTAAATGCTTAGATTTAGTATACGTTGATACCTCTGCAAAGTGTTCCGTTATTCAGAGTAATCCTCTTGTTCTACCAGAGGACTCATATCATCCTGCTTTGGAAATATATGTCGAAATCTCAGGCATTGTACGGGATAATAATCATCAAACTTCTGTTCTGTACTCGTTTAACTTTGCAAAAGCTAATTTTAAAGTTAAATACAAAACTTTCTACAACAACATGGCCTAATTATAATGGTGACATTGAATTGAGTGTCTCTCATTTTATAACATTATTATGAAATTATTTGAAAAGTATGTTCCAATAGTAATGTTAATAAAAGCAAAGTATAAGTCCGTGGCCGAAAGAGTTATATAAATTGAAAACAGAAAACTCGAGCCTTAAACATTTTAAAAACCGGTTCACTTGTCGACTATTCTAAATTTCCCTATGGCGTCGACAATATTTTGACCTAAACAAAATGTTATAATAATTACTTAAATAAAGTAAAAATATTAGTATAATCTAAAATCGTTTTATGATTTCGTCAACTCCAAACGCAAGTTCCAAATTTCCGTCCGCAATGAAATACAAATCTATCATTTCAGTGACAATGATATTATATCAATATGTTTGCAGAATTTTCAAGTCAAACTACTGTAATAATTCTTCAAAACTTTTCTTATCAGCAAGTGCTGTGTTCGAATACTTTAATTAACGCTCAATTATTTCTGAAGAGCGTCCTATTTAATTTAAATAGTTAAAACCATCTTTTAGTTATGGTGAGTACCTCATACTTCCTAAAAATAGTGCCAAATATATTTACCTGCCTTTGATAGGATATTTAATTCTCTCTTAAACACGGTATATTTCCTGCAATATGGAAACAGTCATTTATAATCCCTTTGCATAAAGTGGATTTAGATCCAACATTGAAAACTATGAGGTATCGCAAAACTATCATTTATACCTAAACTTTTGAGCTATCATCACTGCCATATAACCTTTTCGATTTCTCTTAATTTCCTCATCTCAGCATAGTTTCGTAAAGGAATTCGACTATAACAAACTTACTTGAATTTGTAAACCATTACCATTGGTTTTGGGAACATAAGCATACGGATGTTATATACGAACTTCAGCAAACTTTCGATAAAGTAAATATCTCGATTCTCATACATAAACTTGATCTGCTGGGCTTTCAGCCAAGATTCCTTCAATGAATCTTCCTATCTTTATAATAGAACACAAGGTTGATATTTGAGGATCACCTTCAGTACATTAATGTTTCTTCAGGTGTTCCAAGGTGACATCTTGGCCCGATTCTGTTCTTGTTGTTTATTAACGATATCTCTTTAGTAATAGAATTCTCAAAATTTTATTATACGCTGACGACGTAAAGCTTTTAAATCATACACTTCAACTGAGGAAAGGTGTCTGTTGCAAACAGACTTAAACAATTGGTTGCATGGTAGTAAATGATTTCCATTGAATCTCAATAAATGTAAGACGATGTGCTTTTCCGTAGATCTGTGCACCCTCTTCTTATGTAATAAAACACCATATTCTAGAGCAATTTTAAACTATTTGATTTGGGAGTTAATATGGACCTAGCTTAATTTCAGTCTTCTTATTGATACCATGGTCTTGAAGCAAAAGCTGTCCTCAGTTTTGTTAAACGTTGGTCTAAAAATTTAGAGATCCGTATATTACTAAAACACTTTATACAACTTTGGTTAGACCTATATTGGAATATGGCTCTGTGTATGGAACCTAGCTACCAAATCCATTCTGACAAGTTAGAGTCGGTTCAAAACAATTTTACTTTTCGCCTTAGCGCATTTCCGATGGGATGCTAGGGTAAGTCTACCTCCATACACTAGTCGTTTAAAACTTATTAATCTACCTACACTTTCTAGTCGTAGGGAAATGCTTGCATAATATTCTTAGTGAAACTTTGAATGGAACTGTTTGCAGTTCTTTTCTCCTTCTGAAATTAAATTTAATATCCGGTTAGCCTTTCGAGGCAGTTTAGACCTTTACTGCTAAAATCCTGTAGATCAAATTTTGAACTAAACGAGCCATTCCGCCGTATATGTCATGATTTTAATTCTCATTCACACATTTGACTTATCTGACTCACTTTTCAAAATTAAAAAGACTTTATTGTTTTCTCTTAATAAATGAAAATGTAACAATTTATTATATTGTAACTTTAGATCTTGGCTGTTGAAATTTTTGTTTCTGTAACTGAGCAGTTTTAGATCTCAACACTTAAAAAACTCTCTTGCCTTTTCTGACTCGGCTAATTCCGCACGTATGCGATTGCGCCCTCGCGTCGGTTGGGCGGAGGGTAATCGTTGGGTTTATTATTATTATTACATGTTCATGTTGCTTCAAGTTCGCATAGCTTGGTATTGGAATTCTCGGCAAACGCAGCAATATATTCCCGACATTTAGACAACCATCCACACTCGAGAACTTTAAATTCTAATTACAAGTACATCAAATAATGCAACTCATATGCTAAATGGAAAAATTTCTATTGTGTCCTTAAAATTTCTTAATTTTTGGGTATCCAATAAAATTTACTATCGAACTTTATAAAATCTTAAATTACGTTTTGAATTATTTTGAACGAAATATGTCAGGTCGATATAGAAATAGAATATAGGAAGCTTTTCGTTAGACCTTGCCGATTCACTGTTGGCACAATCTGCATTTTTGACTTCAAAAATCATAAAACAGAACGGGATTTGATCTCTACAAGTGACGACATATATTGTATTACATTGATTAACATTTGTGCAAATGGTTACATCATGTTATAGTTATATTACTTTTGATCTCAACAGAGTATGTAATGAGCAGTCAACTATGTTACGGATATTCAACATCTACGAGAAGTTGATACGAAGTTGCTTATGACTGTAGCACTAAATGTAAAAGTTTTTTTACTCTGCGAAGGTTTATATCGCCCATTAAAATGGATCATTGCCACACCCACAAAATGATATTATGATGCTTAACATATTCGTACAACTCTGCTTTTGAAGCCTCAACATTTTAACTACAAAAATCGACCCAACTTGATTATTACACTTGACATTAAACTTTGCACTAATTACAATATTATCATTATGACATGTGCCAACTCCGATACTCCGAACAACCAAAATCAGTTCGTACAGCGAGTACGAGCCCTTATGGCATGTTTTCTTTGTGATAATATAGTTTAGGCAAAAAATTAGTAATAACGGTTCAATCGCTCCCAAACGTTTATACGATGAATGATGTAGGAAAAAATAAGGTCAGCTAATTTGTTCCCATAATAAATTAAGACATTATTTTCCCAATTTCGCTTATTAACGAATTTGTAATGAAATAAAAAAAAATAATATTGTGGGGTGGCAGCATCAAACAATCATATCATACTTGTGAGGTATTAGTTTTAACACTGCTATTTAACATTAGTAAAAAGGCGTGTTAAACAAAGGCCAACAAAAATTATCAGAAACACTTTGTCTTTATATGTAGTGCTTTTGTAACATATTTATACAAAAAGTACAGCAATGTGTGTACTTTTGTATCGTCAGCGTGAACCTAACGATCATTAAGCGATAAACCTTTATTTATTGGATATGTGCATATTTAGGTATTTGACTTCTGCCAATATGGCATCCTCAATAAAAAAAAAACTACTGCAATTTTCCCTTTCTCGTAGCAGCAATGGAAATAGAGGTCCCAAGGCACTTGACTGACGACATTTCAAAATAGCTCCCTCTTTGCCCGACAACGATCTCATCGCCTAAATTCGAATGCAAAGATTGTCACGCTTGTCGTGTCGATTGTAATTATCGCCACAGCTGAAGCCCTAAAATGGGTACTTAGTTTAACATAATAATTACTAAACCATGATGAAACAAATTAGCAGCCGGCCAAGCGTCGCTTTGATAATATGTGAACACAAATACATATTTATTTATATAGATTTACGTGCTCACAGGTTCATAAACATCCCTGTTGGAATGAAATGAACTAGTGAGCTCCTCTAAATTCGCAGGCATTTCACTAGTGAATACGAGTATTTGAAAAAACAAACGTTGCGCAATTCAAATAGTTTTCCTTTTCGAACACACCTAACGGTAAATTGGTATTTTTAAAATAAATTATTAAAATATTAAACAGTAAGTAAAAGAGAATCACAAGAAACTTTACGTTCAATACATTGCGTGGTTTTACCTGCAGGGGTGGAAGAAAAACATCTTCGAATTCCTGCGAAGGCACGTGTCCAGCGCAATCGCGTAAACGACGTTGAATCACAGACAATGTGTTGCAAACAAGGGAACAAATGCCAGATAAAGAGTGAAAAATTCTCAACCGAAGTCAGTCATAGATTGCTGGTATTAGCAGTTCCAATAAAAATTGCTTAAACAAAAGAAACAACGGGGAAATGGCGGCAAACAATGCATCCTTAACTGGGCGAGAGTGATGTTTAGACACTTGCTGATGGCTCAATAAAGATACAAACGATCAAGTAACAAGAGAGCTAAAACAGCTTGTGGAGATGAGTTGACCAATGAAAAAGTGTGTTTAATTACTAAATGCATTTGCATGGTTGTACGAGTATGATCGTGCTTACAATGCACATTTGAGTAACCCTCACAAAATGTTTAGATTATTTTGAGGACTTTTTCATTGAGAAAAACAATCAAAGGGCGAGCAAACAGCTTCTAGAAAAGCTGATTCAAATATTTCGCAGATTCCTAAATTCCGTTTTATCGGCATTTTTCTACTTGTATGTATTCTTGCTCCAGGAATCATGATATTTTTA